ATCAAACACACATCTATATATGACATCCACTATTTTCTTTATTTGTTTTCCTTCACAGTATGTGGTTTGTTTCTGTTTGTCCAAATATGAAATGTAACACAAGGTGAGGCTCAAATATGTGATGGCAGTCCTTGAAGTTTGAAGGGAATCAACTGAAAAACATGTCATCCACACAGCCTGACAAAAAGGTGACAAGATGGAGGAACACACAGAGCTGAGGTAGTCAATGTCGAATGTCTTCCTCCTTCAGCAGAAAGCTAAGGGGGATGTTGGAAAGGTTAGGAGAGGGGGCGTTAAATCATGACAAACTTGACAGATTTCACCGCAAAGGACCAAAAAGGCTTGTCAACGTCATGACAAATTACAGCAGAATGTTATTCATGAGGCCGATTATTTGCCTCTTATGTCTGAAAGAACACAATGTCACGATGTTGTTGAACTAATACAAACAATTTGAATAAGGAACTCCTTTCTCCTCTCTGATTAAATCTAATCAAGCTTGGCTGGAACGTACTTTTTAACAGCTAGCGCTAATTTATCTCTCCATCTCTGCAAATCAAATACTCTATTTAACCAGGGTTATTAATGCTGCAGTTATCAGGGTGCATTAATGTGGTGGATCTTTGGACCTCACGCCGACACATCTATCTATGTGAGGGCCGGCTGCAGTGCGGGGGCCCAGCAGGACACTGGAGACTCAAACAATGACTCACTGCTTGGCTCGACCTGACATGGCAGCTATTTAATCATTCATTAGTGGTGTGCCTGCTGGATGTGGTGCTGGCAGGTGGGGGATGCAGGGATGGTGTTACACACACACATGAGGAAAGTGTGCATACATTTGATGAAAGCATGCGAGAGCCATAACATTATGATTTTATGTCAAAAAGGAGAGTAATGGAAAGTAGAAAACATGCACTTTATTGCATTAATGTAAGATGGAGGCAAATGCAATTATGTCAAGACCTTTCCCTCACACACACACACTTAGATGAGCTTATACTTCCTTACTGTAGGAAAGGTTTCACACAATCGCTTTAATAAATGTCTTAAATTTCACTGTGAATTTACTCCAAATTTGCTTAAATAATAATTACAGTTGCTTACTACTTTGATCTTGGTTTCTATTGGTTGTAGTAACATTTGAGCTCTGAGTCTTTATCATTGATTAGAAGTCAAAGGGGTCTAGGAAGACAAGTGGCATTTACTTAGTTTGTGCACATACAATTTTATTTTGCAGTGCGGAATTAATACTGATATTATAGGTGCTTTCACTTGGTTTTGTATCCAAGTACATGTGATTCGTATGCAGTTATCTTGGTTAACTGAAGGCTAGTTTATAAACATGCCTGCTTGCTGAACATTAGGTGTAATATTTCTTGTCTCATCGGTCTTTGTTGGGGCAATATGTTCATAGATCTTGGCAATTGAGATGAGTACAATGTTAACTTGAAGTCAAAAATACAATTATAAGCAGAAGGAATCATCATTGAAAGGAGGTGTGACAGTGTCAACCTCTCAGTATTTAGACATGCCGATTTTAAGATATACCAAAGACGTTCATGGTTGTAAAATACAAGTTAATAATGTAAAAAGGGGCCCGAACATCCTCTCTATAAAAGGTCAAACTGGCTCTGACAAACACACACTCAGCAGCAGTTAAGGTCAGTGTCACGTTAGACAACTAACCGTCACACATGCATGCATAGGAGAGTGATTAACCGTGACTAAGAGTGATGTCTTTAATCTCCTACATGTAAATCCAGGCCACGGCCTTATTCCTTCCCCAGAGCTCTGAGCGGAGAGGCTGGGTGTGGCTGCAGACTCTGGGTTGAACACATCTTTGATTTTCACAAGAGCCAAGCTTAATAACACTTCTGCTGCCAATTATCCACCAAGCCACTGCAGGCTCCAAAAGTATTGCTACCTTTGAGCCAGGGTATTACCTGTTTTGTTAAAAGGCCTGAGCAAAGAGGTTAAGTAATGCCATGGCCGTACAGCTGAGATCAGCCCCAGCTAGCTTTACATTTCATGAATGTTACAGTAGGGGGAGGCTAATTCCTGAATCATTTGCCTAAAGCATGCATTCAGGTATAAAGGCATTAAACCAGGCTGTTAATGAAAACATAGCGACACACCTCCCTCCTCCTCTCGCTGGTTAACAAGAGCTTCAAGTCTCATCCTCTCCTCTCCTCTTCTCCTCCCCCTAATCTCCTCTCTCCATCCCCCTCCTGTGTAACCAGAGGGTCTCCTCTTCTCTCTTCGTTCTAAATCTGAGTAATACTCAATTCACTCAACACATTTGCAATTTTGCCTTATTTTCTCATATTCATGTCTTTGTTATTGCATTTGTAAAAACAACCTTGTGCTTGTAAAAGCACAACTCTCACCTTGTTTTTTGAGGCAAGTGTTTTTTTTTACCGGGGCTGCTCCTGAAGGTTTTTCGATATCATTGCAGTAGAAAACATACTTTAATGTGAACACTTTTCTTTTAAAGAACCAACATGTTCCCATCATCAGGTGAATTTGTTGAATTTATTTTCTATCTGCATTGCAGTATATTACATTTTTGGGGGGTTTGATATCTACATGACTTGTAAAGCTCCTCACAAATTACCGGCGCTGTCTCTTTCTCATTACAACTCATTTAAAACGTATAACACACACTTACACCATGGATGTATTTTAAGATTCATCGTGACTTCCAAAAGTGCACACAAGTTTCAGGTTCCTTGTAAGGGAAGATTTTTCCTGTTAACGATCAAGTTAGGAGGTTTTATGCAGTGCAAAGAGTAAGTTCTGTTTCGTCATTATCCTTGCGCTGCTTTTTTTAATATGTATATTTTTTACTGGTAATAGCCTTTTTACGAGCTACTAGCAAAGGATTTGGGGTAAAGTGTGGTGAAAAGAAGGGAGTCAGATGAGGTTGTACAGTACACTTGGGTACACTTGGGTGGTGCAATAAATGTGCTTAATTTCCATTAAACCTTTACTGCACTCCTCAGCACTTAAACAAGACTACACTAAATTGTTTCTTAAGTAAAAGCACAAACGTATTGGCCTCAATATGTACGTTAAATGAAAAAAGTACTCATTTTGCAGAATGATATATATATTAAATAGTTGGATTATAATTATTGATGCATTAATATGTTTATCACTTTAACTTTGCAGCGGTGAAGCAATTAAAAAAAATGGTATATACAGCAAGGTAGCTGTTGAATTTGACCATGGGATCAAGAACGTCTTATCTTAAAGGAGTCCTTATTATCTCGAAATTGTCTCCAGTTCAAATTATTCCAACTTGGACCCTTTCAAAGCTCAACCAATCAGAAAACACTGTTTGTCGCGGCACAAGCTAGCAGAGGTGGTAACCACAGAAACGAAAAACACAACTGGTTGTTTTCACCTCAAATTCGCGCCTAGTGAGCTAAGACAAAATCACGTATCATGTGAAGGCAGCAACACGTCACATAAAAGACGGGGACATGCAAATGAATGGCACTTCTGAGTAACCCATCCTGTTCTGATAATAACACTGTACTGTATAGCATGTCTGGATAAGACAATAAGTGATACAATAATAATAATAGAGCAGTGTTCAAAGGTTCCCTCTCTTTCTCCTCATCATATCTTCCTTCCCCATATTTTCTTTCTCTTCCTCTTCCTCATTTGTATCCCCCTCAGTCTGTCTTCACGGCTGATCTTTCTTCCTCCATCTCTTTCCTGGTCCATCCATCCAAACCTCCTCAGCCTGTAATGAATCTTCACAGGGCTTCCTTCCTTGTCGATGCCTCCTCCTTCACACTTCTCTTGCCGTCTCCTCTGTTCTCTATCCTCCATCCAATCTAAGCCTCACTCTTCCTCTCCATCCACCTATCCCTCCCTGTACCCCTCTTTCTGCTGCTCTACCACAGTGATCCCGAGGTTAATTAGCGCTCCAAGTGTCACAATGTGAGATCCCCTCTGCCTACCTGCTTGCTGCCCTGTGATTGCCTCAGTGGGGGGAATAAAAAGCTTTAGGAGTTGGGCGTTGGAGCAGGCAGAGAGTGAGAGGAATAGAGGAGGTGGTGCACGGAGGAAGCATGGACAGAATAATGATTTCAAGTGAAATTTATGGGAGAAAGGAGGGATGACAAGTTGGAATAGGGGAGCAGATAGAAAAGGAAATACAAGATAAGTGTAAATAGGAGAGGAGGAAAGAAGAGGGAGTGAGAAATATGTCAGAAGGATGGATACATGCGAGTAAACCAATTGGACGATAGAAAGAAAGAAAGAATAAATGGCAGTGGAGAAAGAGACAGAAAATGAAAGATAAAAATTGGCATCAATTTAGGGAATGATGGATGGGTAAATAAAGACAGCTATTGAAAGGATGAAAGAAACAGTGAAGGGCAAGAAATAAATGAAAACGACCGAGAACTAAGGAGGGAATATATCAAGTATAAAGGAAAAACTATGAGGATAGACGGAGGGTTAAAAGATAAAAAGAAGCAATAGGCATTGCAGATGATGGATAGAGGGACAGATACAATTGTCCAATGCAATACAAGAGAGGGAGATTGAAGGCAATAAAGCGGTAATGTCCAGAGACTACAAAGAGGTTATAGATGAAAAGATTTACAGTGAAAAGAGGGAAGGAGAGAAAAGATAATAAAAAACACAGTTTAAACAGAACAGGAGGGAACAGAGGGGGTGGGGTTGATTGACAGAAAGAAGGGAGGAGGTAATGACACATGGGGATGATTTAGAGAAATATATGAGGAGATGGGAAAATCTGGAAGGAGGTTGTTAACGAAGATTTAGAGGAGGGAGGGGAGTGGTAAATACATGGAAATGGACAGAAATAAAGATGAATGATGAGAGTAATGAGGCAGTGTTATTTCTGTTTTCCATTGATAACAACCCTCTTGATTGTCTTGAACGACAGCAGGTGTTCTAACCGTGATATAGCTGGAAATATGCATATCGTTTATTATTTTTTATATTTGGGCACTCACCACTCCAAAGTCCAGATTCTGTTCGATCCACTCCTGGCCGTCCTTGAACTCGTCGTGCAGACCCATGATGTAGAGGCTGTCCAACGCGTCCACAATGGTCGCCCCCAGCTGGGAATTGCCTGCACGAGACACACAATAAAACAATAATACAAATTGATGAATTTATCCAGTCACGCACTAACTAATATTCTTTCTACAAAACCTTGGTCCTCTGGGAATTAGGAGTAGGAAAACTAATCTCAAAACACAATGGGTCTAATCGTGAGGGGGAAAGTAAGAATAATAAATTACTCTGATGAATTTTAATATATTCAATTAAAACTTTTCTGCATGCAAACACATGAAGGAACTGCAAAGTCCATGGAAACAGATGGAAATGGTGCTCAGGCAATCACTGAGGGAATTCATTAATGTGGTAAATCAGGTTGAGTCCGATGAGTCTGAACATCTTTGGAGAGATTGGAGAAAATGTTATCGAAATGGAAATATGAACCAAGCGCAAACATGTTGTAAAGTCTAAATATGTAAGAAATATATTGTAGAGCTTGCTAAATCATAAAATTCAGGCCAACTAGTAATCTACAGACCTAATAAAGAAATCCATGTTTGGTTCAAGATCCACTTAAAACAAAATCTAAATAAGATCATTTTAATGTATTTTGGTATGATAATGTGAAAAAGTTTCAACAATGGTCCTGCACTTTAATACCGCAAAACATATCGCAATTATAAGAACAATAAAGAAATAACACAATTCGTGTTTTTTTCAAATCATGCCTAATCACAAATGTGTTATTTTTTCTTACACATCCATTCCCTTCATATTTCAGATTCTTCCACTCTCTCTCATAACATGTCACTATTTCTTTCTCCCCAATCCTCTTTGGCCGTATGAAGGATGAGAAACACACACTGGGTGTTTCTCAATCGCGAGTAAAGCTGCTCCAGAGCCACTATTTCAAGCATGCTACGTCATCGAGTGCCGCCGAAGTACTGTTTCAATCTCCAGCATACTTGGAAATCTACCGAGCCCGGCGTACTCCGTTTGGAGAAATTTCGAGGCTGCACATGAGTAGACTCCGCGGTCTTAAAATCCCCACAATGCTTTGCGCACGGCAGAGTTCCCGTTAGAATAATTATTTGCCGGTCAACATGTCCGTTACAGTTTAAATCTTCCGGACAAAATTTGAAAAGTGCCGGTCAAAGGTCTTCTATGTTATTTATTGAGCTTTGAAACAAATTGATATGATTCGATATTAAACAAACTAATTATAGTAGATTAATTAACTATTCAAAAGTGTACAGTAATTTACAATAACACGGGAATAATAAACGGAGCGCTCTCTCTCCCTCTCCTGACAACACGCCAATATCATGCAGCTCGCGGATCCAGTAATGAGTAACCCGACAGTAAAACTAAACCTATCTATAACTAGTTTAGGTAGTTTGAGAGGTAATTAAAATAGCTACGTGTGATGTTCTAACCTGAAGTGTGTTTTGCTCCGCTCACCGCTGCAGGGGATCATGCAGAGCTGCGTGTCGACTCGTCAGCAGCAGCCGATCTCTCTCTCCCGTCAGATTAGACTTTACTCGCGTTTGTGTCCATATCGATCAGATCTAGCTAGTTCTAGCTAATGATATGACTACCTGCTTATTAAAAGACACCTAAACAATAAGCGTCGCTATGCAACCGGGTGAGGCCACAAAGTATAGCGCAGCATTATGCATTTGTTTACATGCCCACCGGAGGCATTACCAACAGATCAACGCACAATCAACCCATACAGGACATCTCTTTCTCCACATTAAGTGTAGACATTATAATTGACTATTCTTGTCTGTCACATACTCTTCTTGTCTGTCACATACTCTTCTTGTCTGTCACATAAGTGGCGCAACTGATGCGGTATTGCGCTAAGGGGAAATAATTTTGACCGGACATTTTGACCGGAGAGATTTAGATTTGCCGGTCTTCAGCATATTTTACCGGTCATAGTCCGGTAATTACCGGCTAACGGGAACTCTGGCGCACGGACCAATTTCCAAAATCTGTGGCGGAAAATGTAAGACGGGGCCTCTCATATGACGCACACCTGCACACTTGCTAGCCTGTTCCACTCTTTGGGTGTTTCTCAATCGCGAGTACGCTTGCTTGGTAGCACATGTCTGCCGAGCATCTTGCTTCAGAAGCGAGTCAAGAATACTTCCTGGCATTTGGAAAACAAAGAGTGGAACAGGCTAGCAAGTGTGCAGGTGTGCGTCATATGAGAGGCCCCGCCTTACATCTTCCGCCACAGATTTGGGGAAATTGGTCCGTGCGCAAAGCATTGTGGGGATTTTAAGACCGCGGAGTCTACTCATGTGCAGCCTCGATATTTCTCCAAACGGAGTACGCCGGGCTCGGTAGATTTCCAAGTATGCTGGAGATTGGAACAGTACTTTGGCGGCACTCGATGACGTAGCATGCTTGAAATAGTGGCTCTGAAGCAGCTTTACTCGACATTGAGAAACACCCACAGTTTTCCAAATGTCAGGAAGTATTCTTGACTCGCTTCTGAAGCAAGATGCTCGGCAGACATGTGCTACCAAGCAAGCGTACTCGCGATTGAGAAACACCCACTATGTGTTGAGATGCTTCATTAAGTTACAGCTGAGCAGAGAATCACTCCTCTCCTCTTCCTAACCATCTATCCAATGCTCTCAGTATCCCCAGCAGAGAGCTGGAGAACGAGCAGAACGGTGTGAGTTTGAAGCAAGAACCAGATAGAAGTATAAATACAGAGAAGAAGAAAGCACTAGAGGTAAGAAGCCAACAAAAAAGAAAGGACATAAACATTGAGAGTAGCAAAGCACGGCTAGCAAAGAGAGAAAAAAAGATAGAGAAATATAAGGAAGAAAAAACTGGTAATGCTAGCTATCATTTAAGCAGTTTACAAAATCATATGAACAGGAGAATTCAAAATCTTACTAAGCCCTTCTCTGCCTTCTTTACATTCTGCTCCAGATTTCTCTACGCCAATATCCCTTGATGCAATCTTAATGTGTACGACGTTGTGGGGGTAGCTATACAACGGCAAAGAAAAGCTTATATTGACATGCAGCAAAGACCCAATTGCCCTTGGAAAAAACACCCTAATGTCACTGAGCATGTGCAGTGTCCTTCAGGTTTGTATCTGTTGGCTCAGGGTTGAAATGAATATCTGAAAAGCCCCTTATATGATGTTAAACCTCCACTAGCTTGATCTGTGATCAGTGGGAATCCCACCGTTGTTGTGTCTCAACTAAACTGCTCTTCCCCTTAATTACAGTAATCTGTGCTCGACACAATTACTCACTCAAGAAAGATAAGAAATCAAGCTGGAGATAAAAGATAAAATGGAGATAAAATATCAAAGGAGTCATATCATCGTGAAACTCAAATGATCTTCTTCGCTTGAGATGCATTGCTGTGTATCATACACCTAAAAACTGTTATGATAATGTCATATACCAACACAGCTCTCTGTCAATACGATGGAGAATTACCCCAGTTGCATTGTTGGCTAAATACAGGCACTGTTGTTTCTCTACAATTGATCAATCGCCCCATAAACCCCTTCAAATATATCATAGCTATTATGTGCACCGAAGAAATATAATGCAATGTATTGCCTCTTTAAAAAGGTTGCAATTGATACAAGTGTTGGTTCTTATCACTGCTGTTTTTCCACTATTAATTCATCATTTTAAATGATCAGTTTGAGGCTGTGATCTCCTGATAATACACAGTTGTTTATGTTGTGCTTTTAAAAGAATACAGGGTTTGAATGTATCATTAGTATCCCATGCCCTTGTGGTAGCGGATTTAAGCATTATAATTACAAACGGGGAACACGCAGGTCAGTCAGTCCTTGTCCTTTGGCCTGGCCTGTTTATTTTTAATCCATATTGTTTTCTACTTTCCTTTAGTTGGGTTGGTGCCCAAAAGCTCTCGAGGGATGGCTCTGAATAAGGCTCCTGCTGAAGAGAATACCACTTAATCCCCAAATTACCATTATATATTAAGAGGCTTGCTAACAAAATCAATCATTAAATAAAGATATTCTCTTGTTTTTACTGCAGCTGTCGTGACAATCAGGAATGCTACCTGAAATTATCATAACTAAATAATTTAAGATCAGTTTTAACTTTTTGCAAGAACAGTGCCAGTGTTGCGCTACACCACCGTCCCCACTGTTGGAGTTCTTTGCACTTTTAGCACCGTTAGCTAGCTGATAGCTGATAGCTCGGCAAGCACCTTGTCATGCTACGAATTCGATTTATAATTCATTTCAGTGCTCGAGGCAGGCAAACAGTATTGTTATTAAATACTAGGATTTATGCTAATCATTTATTATATTCTACTTAGATGACTGTTATACTTTTAAGCAAAATGTTGGTATCATTGCTGCATCATAGACTGACAAAAAACCTTTGTGTTTTAATTCTTATATCATAAATCATGTATTATGCAGATATAAAATAGTTGGATTAGAATTTGCGTTTGAATGTAAAACAAGTTTTTATGTAATTGCATTAACACAAACCCAGACAAAACATCTTTAAATATAAGTAAATCTCTTCATTGAATTGTAAAATAATTCAGCATGATTTTCCTAGATCTCATCAGATGATCTTAATCCAACTCTCCTGCTGTTAGCTCTATTTGTTTGGCTTCAATGAGCATTTATAACACGTCAGTGGCCAAAGTCAGTGGCACTGCCCCAAAGCCTTCTCAATTTCATATCACCAGCAGTGTGTCCTGCTAGAGATCCTGAGCCTCCCCACTATCCCTCCTTATCGTTGAGTCCATTGAAAAGCAGAGTCTGGCTCCACGCAGGCGCTGCAGTGTTATTATCACTATAGAGAGGGACCTCTAAATCACTCTAAAAATACTCTGCAGTCGGTCAGGCTGATAGCAGGACGCCCGGCATCCTGACAGATTGGCCCGACTGTTGGTGGAGCGGTGCCCCCCTCTGCTGCACCACAACCACACACACCCAGACACACGCACGCACACAACCCCCCCCCCCCCCCTCCTTCTGTCACTTTCTTCACCCGCAGGTACGCTGCAGGCCGACCTAGCAACGTGACACCATTC